TAGGTTTTTTCATGGTTTTTGCTTTGCGGGAAGGAAAAAATCGTAAAAAGTTGTATTGGAAGATTTTTCAACATAAATTGCCTAACATATCACCAAAATAGGCCGAAGATAGCCAACATATCCCCAACATATGCCCAACATAGCCTCCAAGATGGCTCAACATAGGGCCAACATAAGCCAACGCGGGGCCAACCTGGGGCCAACATAGGCCCAACATAGGCCCAACCTAGGCCAACATAGGCCAACATAGGCCTAACATAGGCCAACATAAGCCCAACATAGGCTCAACATGGGCCCCCAGATAGCTTAACTTTACTCAATATAGGCCCCACCAAGGCCAACATAGGTGTGACATACGCCCCACAGACCCAAGTGGGCCGGCGCCCGGCTGTTAGGCGTAAGCCAAATCCGGGCGCCGGCCAGGACGCCCGTGGCATGCCCGGAGGGCCTTCGGTGGTCACCGAAGGTTATAGACGGTCGGCCCCCCTGCCGCCGACCCTCGCCACGAAAAACGGGCGGACCCCCTCGTCACTTCCTGTCAACTGAAGCCCCTGTAATTTACAGTGTATCGTGTGTGTGAGGTATAAAAAACACTGTGTTTTACAGGGTTTTGGGCCCCTCGGCAGCCGAGAATTTCGGCTTGGCGATGTCAAAAAACGTAGGTTTTTCCAGCGTTTTTGCGTTGCGGGAAGGAAAAATCGTAAAAAGTTGTCTCGGACGATTTTTTCAACATAAATTGCCTAACATATCCCAAAATAGGCCCAAGATAGCCAACATATCCCCAACATATGCCCAACATAGCCTCCAAGATGGCTCAACATAGAGCCAACATAGGCCAACATGGGGCCGACATAGGCCCAACATAGGCCCAACATAGGCCAACATAGGCCAACATAGGCCTAACATAGACCCACATAGGCCCAACATAGGCTCAACATGGGCCCAAGATGTGCCCAACATACACCACATGGGCCCCACTTGGCCCAACCTAGGGCCAAGACGCGCGCCAGATAGTTTAACTTTGCTCAATATAGGCCCCACCAAGGCCAACTTGGGCGTGACATACGCCCCACAGACCCAAGTGGGCCGGCGCCCGGCTGTTAGGCGTAAGCCTTTAAATCCGGCCAGGGGCCCACGGGGCCCCGCCATGGCCGTGTCATTGCCGTAGGCATCTCTCCTCTCCGAAGGAGAGAGTGGAGTCCCGCCCCTGCGGCATACTGCGTTTTACAGTGATTTCTGCTTCTTCCATTTTTCCGGCTTTGTGGTTCAAGATGGGTCACCATTGCCCAACATAGGCCCAAATAATGCTGGAAATGCGTGGCGCGCCGGGGTGCTTCGTCTGCATCGTGGGCGGCTGCTGGGCCAACAACAACAACAACGACGACAACCACAACAACAACAACAACAACAACAACCACAACCACAACCACAACAACAACAACAACAACAACAACAACAACAACAACAACAACAACCGCAACCGCACCCGCACCCGCAACCGCAACCGCAACCACAACAACAAGCACACCACCGACAACAAGAACAACCACAACCACAACCACAAGCACACCACCAACAACAACGACACCACCACCACCACCAACAACAACAACGACAACAACAACAACAACGACAACAACGCCCCCGTGCCCTTTTTCCCTGCCCCCTCCCCTTTGCTTGGGCCCGTGGCCGGCTGTCGGGCGTAAGCCCTTAAATAAATTGAAGTGAACACCAACACGACAAGATATCGACCCCACCAAACGATGGAATGGGCAACCTCGGCCTTCAGAATGGTTTGGCCAAACGCTTGATTGCTATGCATGCAGATATCAGAAGGAAACACCTGCTATGCAGTGTGCGTGTGTTCCTCTCCTTGCTAGTCTCCTCCCCTTCTTTACAGTAATGGTTCAAATCGAAATAAAATCGAGGATGAGAGTGGATTTGAGAGGAAAGGTTGGGAAAGGAAATTTAGCAGCATGTTCAATGGAGTTACTTGCCATCCCCGCTGCTTGCCGTCCATGTTCTATGCTAATCAAAGGGAACACGGGTGGGTAAATTCTGATAAGTGGCAGGAACTGAATTGAGCAAATAGAATGATGTACAGTATATAGTTAGATGGTAGTGGAATGTAGGCAAACTGTCCTACAAACAATCACAACTGGAAAGCAACATGTTCACATAGTAGGATTGGAAGGTCTCGGCCAATTGTGTTCATATATGTTTGTATGTACGTGTACATGTGATATTGATTCCAGGCAAACGATGAAACGGATCTAACAGGTATCCTTTTGTACTGTGCCGTGCAGCGTTGTGCGGTAAGAAGCATTGGCACAATGCAGTACGTGAATTATATTGTGCACACTTGGCATTTTTGCATAAGTGCTGTAAAATCTTGGGGGAGCCTTGGCGCGTGTATTCACCTTCTCCTTTTCAGGATCTGGCCTGGAAGGGGCTCAGCAAGCAACAAAAGAATCACATCAGGTCAAAACATACAACATACCTGTCACACTTGTAGCAAAAAACATCGACCAACATTGTGGATCACAAAGACCTGGTTTTCCCAATGCATCCGCTGCTTTGAGGATACTACGCAGGCATGCCAGCATAGAGAGAATCGCCGGAGCTAGTCTCTGGCCTGGTGCTTTGCAAAGTATTGAATCCCAAGCGCAAAACTGCCTTGTAAGATCTTGTAAGCTAAACACGGTCCCTGGATCAACTCAATTTTCCCAGAATTTTGTTCAAACGCGCTTTCTCCCTCTGGAGATGAAGGAATTGTAGGCAGCCCAAAGAAGGCCCACCTGTCAGATCACATGCTGGTCAAGTGGCCCAAGCAGGGTGCTTGGTTTTGTTTCAGCGTGTGCGCCAGGCGAGAGTGAACCTGAACCTGACTGGAACTGTTCTAGTTTGGGTTCGGATTCTGGAGGATGATGGTTCCTAGCCACCTCCGGCAGTTCTAGTTTGGGTTCGGGCTCAGGCTGCGATCCGGCGGTCGGGAACTTGAACCTAAACTGGAAGTGTTCTAATTTGTGCTCGGGTTCTTGGGTACTGGAGCAGCAGTCGTCGAAGTTGTAGTGATAGTAGCATCAGTAGTGGTGGTAGTGGTAGTAAAAACTTGCTTGTAGTAGTAGTAGCATTGTAGTCGTACTAGTCGTATTGGTAATCGTGGTAGTCATGGAAGTCGTGGTAGCAGCAGTAGTAGTAGTAGTAGTGGTAGTAGTGGTAGTAGTAGTAGTAGTAGTAGTGGTAGTGGTAATAGTAGTAGTGGTAGTGGTGGTGGTGGTAGTAATAGTAGTAGGGATCGTAAAAGTACTAGTAGTAGTATTAGTAGTAGTAGTGGTAGTCGTAGTAGGAATTAGTAGTAGTTAGTAAAAGTAGTTAGTAGTTAGAAGTTAGCAGTTAGTAGATACTAGTTAGTAGTTAGTAGTGGGTAGTGAGTAGTAGTCGTAGTAGTA